ATTTTATCTCTATAAAATTGCCTATTCTAGACATTTCACATAAAGAAGGTCATACAATATTTCATCTTTTTTGACTGATTCCTTTCATGTAGGTTTTTTTCTTTTTTTCTTTTTTGCTATAGGGCATGTGTGCTCGCCAGAAAGACAGAGAGAGACAGATAGAAAGCAAAGAATCGCCTCCTAGGAGGATGGCCACACCGCAATCCCTTCTTCTCCATTCTCCTCTCAGGATCTTGGGCACGCACGCACACGCACCCGGTGAGAGTTTAACCCACCGGGTCCGGGACTCTAACCACGGTCGACTACATGGGAGTCCAGTGACATAGCCATTACGCTAACTGCTGGTCACTTACGTAGCATGTTTTTAAGGCTTACCCAGGTTGTAGCATATTTCCATACCTTGTCTCTTTTATTATAAATAGCTTAGAAAGCAGAATAAAATAAAAGAAGAAAAGTAAAAAAATCTAGAAGTAAACACTGTCAAATGTTGGTATGTTTTCTTTTCACCTTTTTGTTTTCATGACTTTGTGTGCTTATATGTATGTCTGGGTGTGTGTTTGTGTATGCACTGCATCGAGATGATGGCATGTTTGGATGTTTGATGGTATCTAGTACTTCTCGTATATTAGTCTCAAATTTTTGGGCCATTTTCTCAGTCTTCGAGGAGGATATTTCTAGGCTAGCAATTTTCTCTTCTACGTCTGAGATTCGATTTTCTGTATGATCTAGTCTGCTTTTAATACTTTCAAGGGAGATTTTTACCTCCTGTATTATAGCCTTCATCTCTAACAGTTCCATTTGATTCTTTTGTAAAGTGTGAAATTCCTCTTTTAGATCTTGCATGAATTTCCTCACCTCCTGGAACTCGACAACTTTTTTCTCCTTCCTCTTCAACAGTTCATTGTCTCTCTCCTCTTCCATCTCTGTAAGCTTTGCCATTATGAATGTTCTGAACTCTTTATCAGACATTTCCATAATTTCCATTGAACTGTGTGTGGATGAAGAGGAGTTATCCTTTTCCCTTGGAGGAGAGGTATTTTCCTGCTTTCCCATATTTCTTGTGGTCCTGCAGCGATTTCTAGTCATCTGCTTGATGGTCGGTTTCTTCCCAAACTTGGAAGTTCAATCTGAGCGTCGAGGAGCGTGCAGAAAAGGAAACAGAAAGAGAGAAACAACAGCAACAGCAGCCAAAAACAAACAAGAAACAGAAAAAGAGGAGAAAAAAACGAAGAGAAAAACTTTTCAATAAAACTAAAAAAATTAATATTTAAAAAAATTTCAGTAGAACCCAAAAAATTAGAAATTCTAAAAAGCAAAAAATTTTAAAAAAAGAGAGAAGACAGAGACAGAGGTAGAGAGAGACAAAGACAGGTACAGAAACAGGAGGCCTGAAAGGAGTCTTCCTACCATGAGAGTTTTGTGTGCTGGAGGCCTAATTATCAGTGGGAAATCTTCAATTCTGTTTCCCCAAACATGGCTAGATCACAGGAGCCATGAAGCTGTGTTGGAAAAATCTTTCTTAAAAAAAAAAAAAAAGGAAGAATATAGGAACTGCCAAACCGACAGTTGTCTGTACCATTTTGCATTCTCACCAGCAGTGAATGATACTCTACATCCTTGCTAGTATTTGGTATTGTCAACGTTTTGGGTTTTTGCTATTCTAATAGGTGTGCAGTATCCCACTGCCATTCACTTTGCATTGGTGATAAGCATCTCTCATATGTTTACTTGCCATTTATATATCTTCTTTGGTTTAATACCGTATGCCATAATGATTTGTTTTAGCCTTACCCCAACTTCAAACCAATTTGGAATGCCTCAACTAAGTCCAGCTGGTGATTTCAGGGTTGAAGCCATGATCTGGCCATTATGCCTACTTTGAAGTCTATGAAGTAAGTACAGTTGGTATAGGAAAACTTGGGGGATATTTTTTAATGAGAGATTTTTTGCTATGGGCCCATGCATTCATTGGAGGGACAGAGAGAGACTGAGAGACAGAAAGCAAGAAATCACCCCCCAAGAGGATAACCATGCTGTAATCCCTTCTCCTCCATTCTCCTCTTGGGTACATATGTACATGTGACGAGCAGGACTCGAATTGCGGTTGATTACATGGGAGTCCGGCAGTGTAACCGTTAGGTTATCTGCTGGTCCTAACCTGGGGGGTTTTTACAGCATTGAGATTGTGGTGAGTGGTTGGCAGAATGGAGGCTGAATGTTCTCTTACTAAATTCCTCTGTGTTTCAGCCTTATTGTCAATACAGTTTGTTCATTCTTTTCGATCACAAAGATATTCTTATTTTATTTCTGATGCAAGGGGAGTAATGAGACCAAAGTTAAGGAGATACTATAATGGAAGGAAGTGGAGACTGTGGTGTCTGAGACATGGTTCTATGATCTAGAAGTGAATACCAGCGGCTGAAGTTCTAGAAAGAGCACTGCTGTTGTGTGGACACAATGTAACGTGTTGACCCCTTGTAACGGGGATCAAGAGGGTAAAAAGTTGATCCAATTATGGTATCGAGTGCTGGGGCCTTTGGGAAAAGCATGAAAGTCAATGAGAGTGAGGTCCCTAGGATCAAATTCTGGTGGGTTTATAAGGAGAGAATGAGACCAAAACAGAGAAAGACTCATGAATGGCTGCTCTGTTCTGTTCCCACCCTCATGTGTGACTGAAATACCTACCAGATACGGCCCCTCGGATCTTGGACCTCTACACCATGAGCTGACTAAACCTCTGTTTTTATAAATTACTCCGTTTCTGATATTTTTGTTAGCAGCAACAAAATGGATTAGATGATGTGCAAAACCCCACTGTATTTAATGCTGATTCCTGATGGGTGGTAGAGGTATGAAGGTTGGAGAACAGGCCAGAGAAGAGCAAAGACTGTCTAAGTACGGTCATGTTCTATTTAAAGTGGCTGAGTGTACTGTTCTCTAATGAGTCTGCCCATTGTCTCTGTCCATGTCTTTGGGGACCTTTGGGTAACAGAGGAATTCTCAAACTTTAATCTCTACAGTTAGTTTAGTTTTTTAGTTCTCTATTCAGAAAGCCTACATCTATCTGGTAAAACTACTCAATATGTCCAAAATAAAGATATCTCCTTTCTCCTTTATTGGTATAGGACTGGGATGGTAAATTTAAATTTGTTTCTAAATTACTGAGTCTCTTATCTCAAAGTCCTCTTTTTGCTACTATTTTTGGAGGTCAGTGCCTTGGGCAGAATAGACATTAGTCAATGGATCACAAGATATTGTAACATCCTTGGGGTTATGGCAACAAATATTTTAAACTCTCTTTTGCTCCTCTGTTCATTTATGTCTCTAGCCTTGATTCTGTGAATCAAAAACAATTCCGCAAGGTCCCTCGTGGCAGTGATGAGTTAGAGTACACCAAGGTCATCCTTCTCTCTAATTGCTTCTTTCAAAAATTTTTATTTGGGGGCTAGCAGGTGGCATAGTGATTAAGGTGCTGGACTCCCATGTGACTGACTACAGTTTGAGTCCCAGACCTGGTGGCTTGAAACTCACACTAGGCGTATGCGTGTCCAAGATCCTGAGAAGAAAATGGAAGAGAAGGGATTGTAGTTTGGCCAGTCTCCCTGGGCGAGGAATAATTTTTTGCTTTCTGTCTTTCTGTCTCTCTCTGTCTCTTTGGCAAGCACATGCATCCTATAGCAAAGATCTCTTCAAAAAAAAATTTTTTTTATTTGTTAGAAGGCACACACACTCACCAGAGAGAAAGGGAGAGGGAGGACACACCCCCCCCCCATGGGGTGCAGTCACTCCACAATCCCTTCATCTCTCCACTCTGTCAGGATTTGGGGCACGTACACACACACAACTGGCATATTTTTCAGGCTGCCAGGGCCATGATTTGAACTGCACTGTCAGTGACGTGGGATCTGGCTTCCTTAACCAGTAGACCATGGGGCTGGTCCCCTAATTCCTCGATCTTGTGAAGATACACGGTCTGAATGTGTCCTACCATATTCAAACATTAAAACCTAATCGCCAACGTGACAGCAGAGTAAAGACGGCGCTCTTAGGAGGTGATTAAGTCAGAAGCGTGGAGCCTTCATGATGGGATCAGTGACTGTAAAAGGGCTTGAGGGAACTAGGTAGCCCCTTCCATCCCTTCTGCTTTGTGAGGACACAGCAACAAGACACCATCTTGGAAGCAGAGACTGGACCCTCACCAGAGTGGTTACTGAACCTGCCGGCAACTTGATCATAGACGTACCAGAACTGCAAGAAACAAATGTCCCATTGCCAGATATTCTGCTACAGTAGCACAAGTGGACCGAGAAAGAAATGTCCATCTTTCTTAAGGCATGTGTGTAGGTCATCTTCCAGGTCCATGGTCATTTAGGCCTCCCGTCCCACAGTGCAACTGTGACTGTTGTGCCGGCCACAGCTACCCTTAGGTATGGCACTTTCTGAGTAAGTCCCTCAACCTGCAACAAAAGCACTCTACTCTTGTTGCCAAGTTAACAACCTGTCCTTGGCCTCAAGCTAACAATGAGCACAGGAGCCAATTGGGATCCAAATAAACAGGTTTTAACCCTGAGATTGTGATCAATTTCCCTTTTCCTTTCACAGAGCCATTAACAATGACATCTAATTTAGCCTCCTGAGGCTCTGTTCAAAACCCACTGTTCTATAAAGTATCCACCACTCTTTAAATATTGTAACTATACTAGTTTTCCTTTCATTTGATTCGCTTGTCCTTCACTGTTCCACATCTCACATTTATTTTTCCCACTGTAAAATATTCTCTTCCCATTGTGACAGAGCGTATGATTTTTGTTGTAAAAATACTTTGTATGTATAGCTCTTTTGTCCAAAGTACAGAAACCCATTATTATTTTATAGAGATAACTATGCATATATATACACACACATATGTATATATATATATATATAACCCACTGGCCGCTTCAGTTATTTCAGAGGAGGATTTTAGATGAGAAAACAACATAAAAGGCAATGAGGCAAAGTTCTGAGGAAGATGAGGAGGATTTCATTAATTAATTAATTTGTTCATTCAGGTTCTTCCTTTACATATGGTTAAAGCAAAAGCAGTTACGTCTATCCATACTAGTACAGAGAGGAACGAACTGACATGCTTACAACACTGAAAGACTAGGATCAGGATCATCATCTCTAGTACTGTGTTCCTTTAGTTCCTCCCCATAAGAGGGCCTGAGGCACAAGGGTGGAGGTTTGAGGGTGCTGGGATGGGATGGGTGAGCCCCAGGCAAGACGGCATTCCACAGCACACCATGAGCTCGCCTTCCTCCTGTGGGCAACCTTGGCATCCAGTCATTAGCTCTTGTTCCTTACAACCGGGAGAACTGAATCAGGTCTCGACTGATCTCAGCGATGGATCGGCAACCTAAAAGAACAATGAGGTTACAAAGCCTCTTTTCTCTCAAACACCAGTAACCCACCCCATCGTGGGTATGGGATGAGCCAGTGGCACCATTTTGATCTTTATGCTTGCCCTGATAAAATGTCGAATGTACAGAGAAATAATGTAATTCTGATTGCATGGGGAATTATTTTATGTGCCTATGCTTATATTATTTTTCAATACAACTACATCAAAATGTCAGGGTAAAGATGTAAAAACACTATTTTCTAGCATTCTTACCAACTCTTCTGTGTGATAGATACCCTTGATCTTTATGTCAAGTTATGATAAGGCTTAGGGATATAGAAAATATCTGTGAGGGCTAAAGATGACTCGGGATAGTATAAGAGATAGAGTATGTTATGTATTCCGTATAGCACTGTCTTTGAAGGGAAAGTCTGTCAAAGGAAAAGACCCTTCTTAGCAGATCTTAACTACTGTGCCAAGCCTTTTGACACAGCTGTGCTTAAAGATGACATGGGCACAGGCTCATAAAATATTAGGCAGTTGAGAAAGCCGACATATTTTTCTGCTTGTCTATGCAAAAATGTGTCATCACTTTTCCAACAATTCAATAATCCCAACACAATGAGGACTGTGGCTCGGATTGGACACGGGGGTCAAAGAGAGTAACTTCAGGTAAAATGAAGCTAAAGGAGAAGAGGGAAGAAGGAGCTAGCAGGATGGAATGGGCTGGGAAGTTGTCGGCTCAAGTAGTGAGAAGGCTGGAAGAATTTAGGAACACGCTCTGTGATGATTAACTTGAACTTTTTCCCATGTCTATGATGTATGCACCTTCACCTCCCCAAATGTAACTTCAGCAAAATGTATTACTCACAGAAATATAATGAGAGGATCTTTTTCGAAAAATAGAGACAGAAAAGGGTTGAGTTTTATGCCTGGCGTACCTGGGGCATACAGCAATAAATAGCAGGGGTGGAGGGTGTAAACAGCCGTATACATTGAACTAACAGCAGAAGTAGCAGTTCCAAGCCAGAGGGGACCCTCCCCAGAACCGACAGTGACCTCGAGGCAAGCTCTGGGTTTTCAGGGGCAGACAAGAGTGTTTTGTCTAGGATGTTTCTTTCCTGTTCTCTCTTCTGGACAGCTACTGAGCTGAGAAAGGGTTAGAGGTAAAGACCGCCTCCTCTGTTCTTCAGGTCTCCTGCTTTAAGCTCCAAATCAGAAAAACATTTTGTAAACTTACCTGTAAGGGTCATGGAAGTGTGGAACTCTTTTTTTAAAATGTTCAAAACTTCTTCAACCCCATGTTCACCCTGCACCGAGACAGATTAGGGGAGGGAGAATAAGAACAAGCCATGAAAGAATAGTCTGATCATCTGCGAGGAGTAAACATTGCCGATGTAGTCCGAGCTGTGTTGGGAAGGAAGGGGGGTTTCTGTGAAATTACAACTATGTTGGGAATATGGAAAAGCAAAGAGAAGGAGCTCAGGGGCGAGAGCTATTCAAGTCTGCAGAATGCTTCCAGGCAAGCATGGCAATGCGGTGAGTGTAACCATCCTTCAGGAACCTGGGGCACCTTGGAAATGCCTAAGCGTGGAAAGCATGGAAACCACTTAGAGACTCTGTGTCTCTCCACTGTTTTTTTTTTTTTTTGTGTGTGTGTGTGTGTTTTTTCCTTTTAAAAATTTATTTTTATTGGGACTAGCAGGTGGTGTGGTGGTTAAGGCGCTGGACACTCCCACATGGCCAACCATGGTTTGAGTCCCGGACCTGGTGGCTTGCTTTCTCACTTTCCCTCTTTCTCTCAGTGTCTCTCTCTGGTCAAATTAATAAATGAATGAATAAATAAATTTTAAAAGAATTATTATTATTATATTTATACATTCAATCACTATATGTCATTTAGATCGTAAAGTGACTTTATCCAGCATGATATACACCTTAGTCCAGCCAAGTTGAGAATATTCTACACATCCTCATCAACAGATAATAAACCGTATCTGTGTCCCACAAATGTCTCACCTCTCTATTTTTTTCCCCGAAATTTCC